GGCAGGCGCTCTGTGCTCTGGACGCCCGGACACTGACGGGTGCCGTCGGTGGCCCCCTCTGGCCCGAGCGCTCTGCCAGAGCGACACCACACTTATATCCCACACCATATACCCCAGAGATCCGACGTCGTGATTTTTTCAATACGGGGTCCCCGGAAGTCTCGACCCATCCCCCAGGACCGGTCCTTACTCCTGAGCCGTTTTCTGACGCTCCCGAGGCCCGGCGAGGGCCCCTGCAGGGGCCGAAATTGGGCTACGACCTCCGTCTTGCAATGTTGTCCACGCGCGGGGTCTCTGGGACACACCCCTGGCACTTTCACACCCCGTCCGCCTGCGCTCCCGGGCGCCGCGCGGCATGGCAACCCGCCTCCTCGCCGCCGCGGTGCTGCTGCTCGCGCCGGCGGGCGCGCTCGCGGCCCAGGCGTTCCTGGGCGCGGGCCGCGGGGGCCCGCCGGAGGGGGCGCAGGGCGCGAGCCCCCGGGGCAGCGCCGCCTCGGGGGCGGGCCGAGATGGCGCCCGGGGGGGCGACGGCAGCGGGAGGGGGTCGGAGGATCTGCCCCGAGATCCAAGGCATTGAGCAGATCGAGGCGGAGGCGTTTCGGTGACTGCGGCCCCCAGGGGCCCTCGCCGGGCCTCGGGAGCGTCAAGAAACGACTCGGGAGGAAGAACTGGTCCTGGGGGATGGGTCCAGACGTCCGGGGACCCCGTATGGAAAAAACACGACGTCGGATCCCTGGGGAGGATCTATGGGATCTTGAGGCCGGGCGATTTTGGTTTTCGGAGCCGGCCTTTTTTTTTCGGTTACCGGATTTGGGGCCCGTGGTCGGACCCTGGGGGCATCAACAATGGAGGGACGAAACGCTACTCCTGGGGAAAGGCGACAGCGGGGGGAGGTAGAAAGTCATGAGGGCAGGGGAGGGGGGGGGGGCAAAGGTGCGCTGGCGCGGAAGGAGGCGGACCCCAGGACCAAGAAGGAGCAGGAGCCTCTAGCCACGAAGAAAATGGGTCGTGAGGTTTTCCACAGTGTTCGGTCTCATGGGTCGCTTCCCGGGCCCCGCGACTGTCACAAGACGACTCGGGGTGACAAGCCGTTGCTGGGGGAAGCCCCAGGGCCCAGGATCCATTATCTTCTGGGCCCCTGTTCCGCCCAGACATGCAAAAGGAGCTCCAAATGCTCGAGGCCGTGTTGGAAAGCTTGGACGCCGAGGGCGAGCCGACCGTCAGCGACATCTCGAGGCGCCTGGCGGCGATCGCGTCCCGCAGGGCCGAGCGCGGACAGCCCGGGAGGCCTGCCAGAGCCGAGCGCCGCGGCAGGAAGCCCGCGCAGGTCGCCGCACCCGAGCAGGCACTCGGCCCCGAGTCTGGCGGTCACCTGAGCACCTCCTGGGGCGTCGAGGAGGTCATCGGCTGCACGCGAGAGTGACCTCTCGCTGGAGCAGCCTCTGGTGCGGGCTCACGTGGGGTCCCCAGGTGGCGGAATGCGATGCGATAGCAGCGGCTTCGGCGCTCGGGGTTAGCAACCCCCCCTTGCCCGCCCCCCCCCCCTTCCGCCCCCACCCCACCCCACTTCACCCCCCACCACCCCCCACGCCCCTTCGAAAGTCGAGCACCAGAGGTCACTCTGGCCCAGGGTCTCTCTTGCGTGTTGCCGAAGGAAGGAGAAGCGACGCCACCACCACCAGGGGGCAAGCCTCCTGCGAGGAGGGCCACGATGCCTCCCCGACCCCCGAGCTGGGGACAGGGGGCGCCTCGAGGGAGAGGGGGAAGCCACGCCTCCAGAGGGGGAGGGGGGGCCCTGGCTCCTCCCGCTCCCGCTGGTGGTCCCCTGGTGGTGGTGCCGCTCTCCCTCGCTCCCGAGGCGAGCGCGCCGGGCCTCACGGGCGGGAGCAGCCCCGAGGTGGGCACCGAGGCGCCGGCGACCCAGGAGCGCATCGCGGCGGAGGCGCGGAGGGCGGAGGCCGCCAGTGCCGCGCGGGCGAGGGAGGCCCAGGCCCAGGCCTTCTCGGACCTCGCGGGCGCGCTGGCCCGGGTCGAGGGGAGGCCGACGCGCAGGGCGGCCGGCCACCCGAGCCAGGGCTCGGCAGGGGCGGGTCCCTCGTCGGCGGAGGCCGTCGGGGCGTGGAGGGCCGAGGCCCTCGAGGCCTCGCGCGGCCTGGAGGAGGCTGAGGGGCAGGAGGAGAGCGACCTCGGGGAGGCGAAGCCGCAGGGCGAGGAGGAGGGGGACCCGGAGAGGGTCGCGGATCTCGTCGACGAGGCTGATCCACGGAACGCGTCCGAGCTGGCCGACCTCGCGGAGGCGCTGGCCCAGGTCGAAAGGAGGCCAAAGCGTCGGGCAGCCGGCCGACCGCTCCGGATTCCATCCGTTGCGGATGCGGACTCCAAGATGGTAGAGGCCCTGAGGGTTTGGATGGCCGAGTCCCTGGAGAGGGCCATAAAGGACGTGCGCCACGGGGAGAGCGACCTCGACCAGGGCAAGCCAGATGCCAAGGAAGATAACAATTTGACGGCCGTGGATCTCACTGATGAAGCTGATCCGAAGAACGCGTCCGAGCTGGCCGACATCGCGGATGCACGGGCACATATCCAAGGAAGATCAAGTCGTGCGGCTGCCCGTCACGGTAGACAGGACTTGAGGAGTTGGGTGGCCAAGGCGTTGGAGGCCATGCGGGGTGATGGACGCCATGATGAGGACAAGGTGTTGGAGGCCATGATGAGGAAGCCTCGGGGTGGCCAGTCTGATACACACGCCAAGGTTGTGGACGCCATCATGAGCTGGATGGAGAACCTTGACGAAGAGGCCGACCCCGAGACCGCGTCCGAGCTAGAGGAACTCGCGGCTGTGATCGCTCAGGCCAGGTCCTTGCAGCGCAGGCTCAAGCGAAGGCACGAGCCAGAGGGCGAGGCGACAGAGAACACCACGCGCCTGCGGCCAGCGCCCCCGACCTCTGCTCCCAACCGCGCGGGCTCGCGGCCCGACGCCGCTCGCAGGGCGGACCGCGCCGCAGCCGTGGCTGGGGCAGCGCAGCTGGAGCCTAACACGCCCGAGGAGCCGCGGAAGCAGCACGGCCCCGCGAACCGGCCGGCCGCCGCGGGTGGCGCGATCGAGAGGGCGGACGCGGACACCGACGCGGCGAGCTAGCCGAGCGCCTCACGGGCGCGTCGACCGCCGCGTCGCCCCCGGCCCTCCTGCAGGGGACCTGCTCCGATGCGGCGGTGCGGCGCCGTGGTCACCGAGGGGCGCAGAGCACCCCGTCGGTGCCTCCCTCGGGGCGGCCACGGCTCCCGAGCGCAGGCCAGCAGTGGCTCAGTCGCGCGCGCCAGCGGGTGCGTGGGGACGTTTCTGCACCTCTTCCCCCCCCTCTCTCTCTCTCTCTCGCTGTGTCTCTGTCTCTCTCGCTGTCTCGCCCTCCTTTCTCCCACTTCCTGTCTCCCCCTGTGCCCTTTTTCGTTGCCCCTTCCTTCGTCCAGTCTCTTCCATCTGCACTGTTCCGCTTGGTTGCTGAAGTGTTCCTCATCTGCTGCCCCTGGCCGTTGTCCTTCTCCTCCTCCGGCTTCTCCTCCTCGCCTTCTTGCCGCTGCTGCCGGTGCTGCTGCCGCCTCTTCTCCGTCCTTCTCTGCTCCTGCTGATCCTTCCCGTCACGCTTAGGGTTAAGTCGGGCCTGTCCCTCTACAGGGAGAATATTCAAAAATAGTTAAAAAATAGTCGGGGGACTATTTTTTACCTAACAGCGAAGACTGATAGGTTTCTAGTGGTCTAAAAAGAGCTCACAGATCACTCCACAGGGGGGTCCGGGCAGGTGTTGGGAGTTGCCGGGCGGCAGGGTGCCGGGCTCGTTTTTCGCCAACAGTCACACACTTCGCGCTCTTCGACTTCCCAGAACTCCATTCCCAGGCTCATTCTGAATACCCGGATGCAACAGTCACACACTTCGTGCTCTTCGAGATCCCAGAACGCCATTCCCGGGCCACATTCTGGAGGGCCGGATGCAACAGTCACACACTTCGTGCTCTTCGAGTTCCCAGAACTCCATTCCCGGGCCACATTTTGGATGCCCGGAGCCAACTGTAGGCCACTTCGTGCTCTTCGAGTTCCCAGAACTCCATTCCCGGGCCACATTTTGGATGCCCGGAGCCAACTGTAGGCCACTTCGTGCTCTTCGAGTTCCCAGAACTCCATTCCCGGGCCACATTTTGAATGCCCGGAGCCAACTGTAGGCCACTTCGTGGTCTTCGAGTTCCCAGAACTCCATTCCTGGGCATGATTTTGAATGCCCGGAGCCAACTGTAGGCCACTTCGTGGTGTTCGAGTTCCCAGAACTCCATTCCTGGGCATGATTTTGAATGCCCGGAGCCAACTGTAGGCCATTTCGTGTTCTTCGAGTTCCCAGAACTCCATTCCCGGGCCACACTTTGAATGCTGAGGCAGGCTGATGCTGAGACTGAGGGAGGCTGAGGCTGAAGGCAGACTGAAGCTGAGGACGAGGCTGAAGGCAGACTGAGGCTGAGGCTGAAGCAGGCTGAGGCTGAGGCTGAAGCAGGCTGAGGCTGAGGCTGAGGCAGGCTGAGGCTGAGGCTGAGGCAGGCTGATGCTGAGGCAGGCTGAGGCTGAGGCTGAGGCTGATGCAGGCTGAGGCTGAGGCAGGCTGAGGCTGAGGGCTGAAGGCAGGCTGAGGCTGAGGCTGAAGGCAGGCTGAGGCTGCAGGCTGAGGCAGGCAGGCTGAGGCTGAGGCTGATGCAGGCTGAGGCTGAGGCAGGCTGAGGCTGAGGCCGAGGCTGAAGGCAGACTGAGGCTGAGGCTGAAGCAGGCTGAGGCTGAGGCTGAGGCAGGCTGAGGCTGAGGCTGAGGCTGAGGCAGGCTGATGCTGAGGCAGGCTGAGGCTGAGGCTGAGGCTGATGCAGGCTGAGGCTGAGGCAGGCTGAGGCTGAGGCCGAGGCTGAAGGCAGACTGAGGCTGAGGCTGAAGCAGGCTGAGGCTGAGGCTGAGGCAGGCTGAGGCTGAGGCTGAGGCAGGCTGATGCTGAGGCAGGCTGAGGCTGAGGCTGGCTGATGCAGGCTGAGGCTGAGGCAGGCTGAGGCTGAGGCCGAGGCTGAAGGCAGACTGAGGCTGAGGCTGAAGCAGGCTGAGGCTGAGGCTGAGGCAGGCTGAGGCTGAGGCTGAGGCAGGCTGATGCTGAGGCAGGCTGAGGCTGAGGCTGAGGCTGATGCAGGCTGAGGCTGAGGCAGGCTGAGGCTGAGGCCGAGGCTGAAGGCAACTGAGGCTGAGGCTGAAGCAGGCTGAGGCTGAGGCTGAGGCAGGCTGAGGCTGAGGCTGAGGCTGAGGCAGGCTGATGCTGAGGCAGGCTGAGGCTGAGGCTGAGGCTGATGCAGGCTGAGGCTGAGGCAGGCTGAGGCTGAGGCCGAGGCCGACGGCAGACTGAGGCTGAGGCTGAAGCAGGCTGAGGCTGAGGCAGAGGCAGGCTGAGGCTGAGGCTGAGCAGGCTGATGCTGAGGCAGGCTGAGGCTGAGGCTGAGGCTGATGCAGGGTGAGGCTGAGGCAGGCTGAGGCCGAGGCTGAAGGCAGACTGATGTTGAGGCTGAAGCAGGCTGAGGGCGAGGCTGAGGCAGGCTGAGGCTGATGCAGGCTGAGGGTGAGGCTGAGGCAGGCTGAGGCCGAGGCTGAAGGCAGACTGATGTTGAGGCTGAAGCAGGCTGAGGGCGAGGCTGAGGCAGGCTGAGGCTGAGGCAGGCTGAGGCTGAGGCTGAGGCAGGCTGAGGCTGAGGCTGTGACTGCGACTGCTGTTGCCACTGCGACTGCCATTGCGAATGCGACCGCGACTGCGAGAACAGCAGAATTCTACAACAGGATTCTTATCTGAATCTTAAGGGGAATGCTTCCAGATATGCTCCTACACATCGCTGTTAGGTTGCTTTGCCGGGATAATTGAGTATTTTCGTGCATGTGTTGAGCATTTTTTGCATATTGTAGTGGCCTTCGGCCGGTGCCGCCGATCCGGGTCGCTCGGTGGTGCGAGCGGTGGAGGCGAGCCTATCGGCGCAAGAACGCCCTCTTGGGGCGTTTTTTGAGCCATCTTAGGAGCCTGTCAGGGCGTCGTGGGGGCTTCTTGGGGGCTTTGGGGGGTCCTCTTGGGGGCTCTTGGGGCCTCCTGGGGGCCTCGTGGGCTGGAAGGCTAGATTTGTTCCACTTTTCGTCCCTCTTTTGGGTTCTCTTGAGGCCGTCTTGGGGGCCTCTTGGCCGCCTTGGGGCCCTCTTGGGCCGTCTTGGGACTGTCTGGGGGCCTCCTGGGCCGTCTTCGAGCGGTCTTGGGGGCCTCTTGGGCCGTCTTGGAGCGTCGGAAAGCTGAAAAAACCGACAACCCCAAAAACATGGGAAAAAAATGGAAATCAACGATTTTTGCCTCTGGGGGCCCTCGTGGGAAGCCTCTTGGAGGCCTCTTCAGACGTCTTGGAAGGCTCTTGGGCCGTCTTGGGGCCATCTTGAGCGTGTTCGGGCGATCTTTCGGGGTCTCGGGACTTTCTTAGACCGTCCTCAGAGACTCTTGCGGCCGCGGCCACCCTTTCAGCGCATCCTCGAGATTAAAGCCTTCTGTAAAAGCAGCCCCCCGCGACCGCCGGAAAACTCGTACCCCCCCCACCCCACCCCACCCCCCCTTCCCCGGCAGAGCCACCCCGGCAACCTCCCCAGAGGCTGAGGCTCAGCCTCGAGGCTGTAGCTGGGACTCCTTGGAACTCACACGCCGGATCGGCAGATGTTTAAGTTTTCATCCAAAATTCCCATGTAGGGGAAAGGCCCGACCTAAGCTTAGGGCCACGTCCCCCTTTCCTCGAGGCTCCGCGGCCGTATTGTAGGACACTCGGCTTTTTGCGAGGCGACGGCACGGATCACCGACGCCCGGCGCGACCGTTTCGTCGCGCACTTCTTCCGCTCTCGTGGGCGGCGCGCCACAGGGGCCAGGGCATGGGGGGCGACCCTCTGAGAAGCCTCTTCCGCATCCTGGGCCCAGGACCTCTGGTGCTTCGCTCCTTCGTCTGACGCGCGGGCCCCCGGTCCTCTCGACGCCCTCTCTGCAGAGCCGGTGTCTCATTCCCGAGTGGTCTCCTTCGATCGTCGCGGGCCCCGAAGGCCACAAACGTGGACGGACCCGCGGCCCCGATGCGTTCGAGGCGCCGGTCGTCTGGGCAGGAGGGCGGAGGCCCGGGGCTTTTTTTCGAGCTTGCAGGGCCGAGCGGCTCCACGGGAGCAGGGTGAGATCTCGGAGCCGACGGGCTTCTGGCCACGGCGCGCGGTGCCGGCCGCGCGCCGTAGCCAGAAGTCGGCGCAAGACCGGTCCACGGGGCACCGCTCCTCGCCCCCCTTCCGAGCCGCGTCCAGCCACTGCGACGGGGAAGGCCGCCGGAGGGGCCAAGAGGCAAAGAGGAGAGGGAAGGGGCGTCTGGAGCTTCGCATAGACATCCGGAGGCCCCCGAGAGGCCCTGAGGGGCCACGGAAACGTGCAGAAGCTTAAGATTCCGTTCTCGAACCGCGTCCCCTGAGCAGTATTGCGAGGAGGGGCGCTAGGTCCTGGGACACCAGCCATGTAGGCGCCAGCCAGTCGCCCGTCGGCGCTCCGTGGGGGCTGGAGTCACGGCGCGACCATTGAAGGCCCCCCACGCAGACTGTCCCAATCACGACGCGACTGATTTGCTTCAAAATCGGTAGCGACCGATCGGTCGCGACCGATTTTGGAGTGCCGATCGGTCGCGACCAAAATCGACCGCGATCGAACCGATGCGGTCTCCAACGCTCTGCAAGGCATGTCCTAACGGCGCATGCGAAGTTCAAGCAGTGAGCCAACGCCACGGCCGCGAACCAACAGTGAACTACCAGTCCAAACAGCTCTCTGAAGTGCGACTTCATTGACGATGCTCTGGGCAGGAGGCCGGCTGGGGGCGGGGAGGAGGAGGCCGCGCCCCTCGCCCTGCCGCCCCTCTGCTGGCGCGCCGACGGCGGCGGTGCGTCGCTCTGCCCCGGGGGCCCTCTGCACTGCGCCGGCGGGCCCTCCCGCCGCCCGCTGCGGCCTCCCCAGTGGCCGCGCTTACGGTCAGGAGCGGTGGCTCAGCGTGTCGCGCCGCCAGTTCTGGCCCACACGTTGACCTCGACGAACAAGAAGAAGAAGAGGCAGAAGAGGAGCAATAACATTAGTAATGATGATAATGTTAATACTGATGATAATAATAATGATAATAATAAGAATAATAATCATCATCATCATCATCATCATCATCATCATCATCATCATCATCATCATCATCATCATCATAATAGTAGGAATAAAGGTGAGAAGGAAAGAAGCGGCATAAGCAGAAGTTCTCAGAGGCCCGCGCGGATTTCTTGGAGAGGCGTTTGGCCCCCCTGCCGGCGCTGCTGGCGCCGCCCCTGGCGATGGCGACGCTTCCCGCGCCGGGGGAAGGGGTCCAGTGCCGATCCAAGAAGTCCGCGCGGACCTCTCTGAGAGATTATGTTTACGCAGTTTTTTGCTGTTAGACACGCCAACCACGTCCTAGCCCCATGACGTCCATGTCCCTCGCTCTTGCCAGCTTCCCGTCCCGCACAGCGGAACGACACGCGGCCCGCTTGCAGGACATACCGTGTCGCCAGGGCCGCCGCCGTGACACGCTAAGCGACAGCTCCTCACCATAAGGCCTAGTCCTAGACCTCTCGCGCCGTGGGAATATCACGTCGCAAAGTGTTAGCCATTGTATTCGGCTTCTGGGGGCCTTTCCTGGGCCCTGGGACGACTCTGGATGAGAAGACGGTCCCTGGGGAAGGGGTCGAGATCTCTGAGGGCGCACATTGTGGAATACTCTTGACGGCGGCGGGGGTCTGGGGTATTCAACGTGCGCAGCTGTTCTGCTTCAGTTCACGCCCGCGATGCCGGTTCGCTCGCGGCACAAAGTCACGCCCCTTCTCCGCCTCCTCGGCATGACGAAGACGGGCCTGATAGGAGAAAGAAGTTTGCCTGGAGATGTGTCACTCTTTTCGGGCTCACGGCGCCCTCCTACAGGCCCTGGGGCTGGCAGAAAACGTCCCAGGATGAAGAGGCGAACCCGTTTACAACAGGATCTTTGTTCCTCATGTCAGTCGTGCCTCTCCTCCTCCTCCTCCTCCTCCTCCTCCTCCTCCTCCTCCTCCTCATCCTCCTCATCCTCCTCATCCTTCTCCTCCCCCGCCTCCTCCTCCTCCTCCTCCTCCTCCTCCTCCTACTCTTCCTTTTCACGTTAGAATAAACCTCAGCATGATGCTGTGGCGTTACTCCTCCTCCTCCTCGGGCCGGGGCCAGGACCAGGGCCAGCCCCCCCCCCCCCCCCACAGGGGGAACCCATCCCTGTCCCCCCTGTCCACAGGTGGGGCCACCCCCCAGGGCCTTCTGGGGACGATAATCTGACCCGGGACCCCCCCACCCCGTAACTCCTCTCCTCCCCCCCCCTGCCCTCCCCCTTTCCCCCTGCCCCCGGTCAGGGAAGGGAGAATGGGAAGGGAGTCGACTTAACTACGACCTTTCTTTGTCCTGTTCGTTCCCCAATTCGTGGGACTGGCGACGACGACGACGACGACGACGAAGACGACGACATCGTCTCACACACGCCGAATGGTCGGCGGATTTCTGCCTCTGCCGTGACTAACGGCCCCCCACACCAAAATATGCCCCAAAGACATCCACATCCTTGTCCTCCTCGCCTCCCTCATAGCCTAGCCCCGCCGAGACAGCCTGTGCACCTGTGAGGCTGCGACTGTGCACTTGAAGGCGCCAGGCTAATCCGCCGCGAAGGCCGCTGGACCGAACTGCCAGGCACGTTCGGGGTCGCAGTTGAGGCAAGGGTGAACGCAGGGCAGACGGGGTGACCCATGTCCTCCGCGCAGGCACGGCAGCCGAACATAGGCGCGGACCCCTGGGCGTTGAGGCGTGGGCGCGTGGTGCCGGCCCGCCACTCGACAGCGCCAAAGGCCCGCGAGTGAAGCTGCTGCAGGAAGATGGGTCGGAGGGCTTCCGACCAGAACGGCCACGCAACGACGAGGAGCCTGAGCCATTTGGACCCTCGGCGAGGGAACGTCTGCTGGAGACGATCATCGAAGCGGGTCCCCGGGCGGGTCACGGGGCGGGCCGAGACGAGGGTCGCCGGGCTATCCGTGGGCTGGTCGCTGAGGGGGTCGCACGGCGGGCTGCCAGTCGCGGGGCAGCTCGCGGGGGGCGGGCGGCGATGATTACACGGCAGGGCACCTCAGATAACAAGAGCAGCGGCAACGTCGCTACAATTCGCGAAGCCTCACTTCAGCCACACGCACACGCACACATGGACAGAGACAGACAGACAGACAGACACATAGACAGACAGACAGACAGGCAGGCAGGCAGACAGACAGACAGACAGACAGACAGACAGACAGACAGAGAGAGAAAGAGAGAAACAGACAGGCAGACAGACAAACAGTCAGCCAGACAGACAGACAGACAGACTCTCTCTCGGGCTCCCACGTCGCTGGGGCGCCCCCCAGCCACGCCTCGAGGGCGTGTCCCAGCCGCGACTGGGGGACGAGGGCCATGACGCGGAACACCGCGAGTCCAACATTTTCGTGTGGCGAAACGGGCCATTTGTATCTGGCAGACAGACACAGACAGAGACAGAGACAGAGACAGAGACAGAGACAGAGACAGAGACAGAGACAGACAGACATACAGACACACACACACACCATGACAGTGTGCGACTGGTTGGCCCCTGCACTTCTGGATGAGCGACTCGATAGGCAAAGCTTGCCACGGAAAGTGAGGTGGAGGGTGAGGAGGAGCAGCAGGTGGTGGATGCGGAGTAGGAGGGGCGGGGGTGGAGCTTGGAGCAGCGAGGAGGGCCTCTTAGTCCGTGCAAGCTGGCAGGTGGTGAGCATGGCGCTGCAGAGCGAGCGTATGGCAGTGGCGCTGGAGCTCCAGGATTTCCTGGACCGGAAGGAGCGCTCCCAGCCACGCGGGTTTCCAGACCTCCCCCGTCTCCTGCTGCCGCTCCTCCATAGGTCATTTGTCCCGAGTCCGGTCGCAGATGCGATTCCGATGTTATCTTGCGTCTGAAGTAAGCATCCCAAGATGCACTCAGTAGCCCCAGATGTTGATGTGTATCCCGAGGCTGCGCAGGGTGCAACACCGAGCTGATGCTTTCCCGAAGCGGCTTGATGTACAAGCCCGACGGGCGGCCTGCGCGAATGAAAATCGGTGGCCCGTGGTCTCTGGTCGTGGCCCGTGGTCGTTGGTCGTGGCGTCGTGGTCTCTGGTCGTGGTCCTGTTCGTGGCGCGTGGTTTTTGGTGCTGGCCCTTGGTCTCTGGTCTCTGGTCGTGGCCCGTGGACTCTGGTCGTGGTCCGTGGTCTCTGGTCGTGGCGTCGTGGTCTCTGGTCGTGGCGTCCGTGCGTGGCGCGTGGTCTTTCTGTGCTGGCCCGTGGCCCCTTGGTCTCTGGGCGTGGCCCGCGGTTTCTCTCGCCGTCGCCCTTTGGTCGTGGAGCGCGGTCTGTGGTCTCCTGCGTGGTCTCCCGTGTGGCACAGGACATCATGGGGTGGGGGCGCGTTGGTTCAGGAATGCGCCCTGTATGCTGCAGACCCCGGAGGATTCCTTACCTGATGAGGGCGGCCGAGACATCCATGGCCAGGCCTCGATTGGAGTTCCACCGGCCTCCAGACCCTGGACTCCTTATCTAAGGCTTCCTCATCCAATGCCCCTTCCGTAGCTGAGCTTGTTGCGGAAGGTGGTCATGCCCACCCACCCACCACCCCTCTCAGACAGAGGGGCGATGTTCTACTCCTGACCTCATCGCGTCCGAGCAGGCCCACGTTGCCCAGGAGGGTCGAAGCATACACCTCTTGTCTGATTGGTGAGGATCTCATCATCGTGTTCGCTGAATCCCCCGCAGAAGACCGCGCACTGTGATGAGCCCGTGCGCGCACCTTGATAGTGCTATTGGTGAACGTTGACGCGCGCGCAGACAATCGGGCATGTTCTGTTGTGTTGCTTTGGTGAGCCATCTGGTTGCGAAGGCCTTGCGGCCGTTGCCGCCCACCCTGACAGGGGACAACAACGACGACGACGACGACGGCGGCGGCGACGTCGACGACGAAGCTGACGCTCTGGATCCCTTGATGAGGTCCTCTTGGGAGCACGTAGGGCCCTTCTGGGAGGCCCCTTGGGGAACTTCTCGGCAAGATCCGTGGTCACTTGGGTCCGCCTTGGAGCGGATCTGAGGCCTTCCGGAGGCATGTCGGAAAATACCCGGCACCCCCCACAACAGCAGATAAGAGCGACGGTTCCTCCTGGGGGGTGTCCGGGAGGAGGAATGGGGGTTCCCCTGACCACAGGGGGAACGGGGGATCTTCCCGTGTCCTTCTTGTTCACAGGGGGGGGTTCAGAGGGGGGGGAACACGCCCCTGCCCCCCTGTTCTCCACAGGGCGGACCGGGGGACCACGGAGAGGAGGTGGGGGGGGGCTCAGTTCTCCCTGTCCACAACAGGGCCCCCCCCCGCCTTGGCAGCTCGGGACCACCTCCCGGGACCCTCCCTTGGGAGATAGCATTCTGACCCAGGACCCCCCCCCCCCTGGACCCCACCCCACCCCAGCGGTGGAGGGATCAAAGGGAAAGGACTTCCCTTCGATCGAACTACGGCATCCCTCAAGTTCCTTGTGGCTGGCGGACGACGAGGAGAGCCCAGGCCAACAGGGGGGAGCAGCAAGGGCAACGGCGCCGACGGCGCCGGCGGTGTGGCGGCGGCGGCGGTGGCAGCGGCGGCGACGACCACGACGATGACGACGACGACGACGATGACGACGACGACGACGACAGAGCGACGACCACGGCGACGACGACGACGACGACGACGACGACGGCGACGACGACGACGACGACGACGACAACGGCAAAGCGACGACCACGACCACCACGACGACGACGACGACGACGACGACGACGGGTCAAACGGAACAGCGTCTTCACACGCCGGCAGGGTTTGCGGATTCCGATGGTATGTATTGAATTAGTTTGACCTTGCAATCCGTAAAGATCAGATGCCTGCTAGCCTTCACCGCGTGAAGCGCGAAATCTCCGCAAACCAACCCAGTGCACGAGGCGCCATCAAGACGGCCCACGAGGCTCACACGGGCAGGCACAATACGAAACCTCGGCGCACCCATCCAGCGCACGAGGCGCCCACTGGCGCGCACCCCGCGAAACCTCGGCACACCCACCCAACACGAGGCGCCCACCAGTCGTGCACCAGCCGAAAACCTTTCACATTCAATTACTCCGTCGGAAAGACCTCACATGAAAATCCTTTCGGCTAATTTGGAGATAGCCTGCACTGTCGTTTTCGCGATTCGTGAGGCGCCCTTACTGTCTTCTCTGCGTCATTCTCATTCTCGCCCTGGCGCAGGGCCCTCACCCGCTCCCCGCGTTGCCCTTGCCTCGCCCTCCTGCTGTTTGTTTCGTCACCCACCACCTCCCCTCCTGTCTATTGCAAGAGCGCGCGCGTCGATTTTCCTCGACACCGTCGCCGCCTCGGCCAGCGCGGGCGCATTCTCGAATGGCCGCGTCGCGCGGCCGTTGGGACAACCCCGCGGGCCAGGCCGTTGGGGCAACCGCGCGAGCCGCTGGGGCGTTGGAGCAAGCCGCTGGGGCCGCTGGCGCGAGCCGCTGGGACAACCCCGCACGCACCGAGCTATTCACGGCCGCGCTCAGGCGGTCACCACCCCCGGCCCGGACGCAAGGGTTTCCCCGTGCGCCCGGCCGCCGTCGTCGTCCTCACATCCTGTTCCTCCTTTTCCTCCTCACCTGATGGGTCGGGCGAATCGTTTTTTTAAGAGCGCATGAAGAGGAGGTTCCCGCCTGAGACGTCCTCACAGTTCATTCACAGACGAGGCTCCCCCTTGATACCTCCTCCATTTTCAGCCTCGGGAGCCCAAAAGTAACGACAGTTACAAGGATGAGGATGACCCGCTGGGATTAAGAACGTGGAGTGCGTGCCCCATAGGGAGGGGGCTCCCGCCTGAGAGTTCATCAATACCATGATTTGCGGGCTCCATACGGATGGGGCTCCCGCTTTTTATATTTGTTCGCAAGTCGCTCACAGACGAGGCTCCCGCATGATACTTCCCCCAGGTTCAAGCCCCAGGTGCCCAAAAGTGACGACAGTTACACGGATGAGGATGACCCGTCTGGGTGTCTGGATTACCAACATGAGGTGCGGGCCCCATAGGGAGGGGGCTCCCGCCTGAAATTCCCTAACACTTTACTCACAGACGAGGCTTCCGGTTGAAAGTTTTTCCTCCATATTCAAGCCTGAGGACCCCAAGAGTGACGACAGTTATAGGTTTACGCTGACCCGCTCGGATTACCCACGTGAAACGCGGGCCCCATAGGGAAGGAGCTCCCGCCGGAGATTTCTTCACAATTCACTTACAAACGACGCTCCCGCATTACATGTCCTTGTATATTCAGGCGTGAGGAGTCCCAAAGTGACGACAGGTAGAAGTTTCCGGTGGTCCGCTCGGATTGCCAACGCGAGGTGCGGGCCAGCAGCTCCCGCCTGAGACTTCCTCACAATCCACTCACAGACGAGGCTCCCGCCTTCTACTTCCTCCATATTCAGGCCTGGGGAGCCCAAGAGTGACGACGGTTACATGTTTCCGATGACCCGCTCGGAATACCAACATGAAGTGCGGGCCCCATAGGGAGGGGGCTCCCGCTTGAGATTCTTCATTCTTCACTCACACACGAGGCTCCCGCCTAATACTCCCTCCATATTCAGGCGTGAGGAGCCCAAAAGTGATGACAGTTACAGGTTTCCGATGACCCGTTTGGATTAACAACATGAAGTGCGGGCCCCATGGGGAGGGGGCTCCCGCCCGAGATTTCCTTACAATTCATTCAGGGGGGTCCAGAGAGAATGATGTTGAGTGATGAGCGAGAGTGCGTGTGATGTGCGAAGGAGTATGATGATGATGGTGGTGGTGGTGATGCTGATAATGATGATGATCGATGGCCGATGGTGATGGTGCTCGATGGTGAGTGACTGAGTATGATGATGATGGTGGTGGTGATGATGATGATGATGATGGTGACCGATGGTGATGGCGACCGATGACGGGGTGAATGCGTGAGTGAGGCGGAGAGTGGGAGGGAGGTGTCGCGGAGGGTGTCCAGAGAAAACAAGAACCCCACGTTGGATGTGGAAAACAAATCACAATAATGACCACAAGTAAGAAAGTGCATGCACTGTTTGGGGGAGAATTCCTCATAACAAAGTATGCCCACGACTCTGACAGCCACTCGTGCGCAACACGCCGGATACCAGCAGCACGCTGCCTAGCAACACAGCGCGGTGCTGCAGTACGACGCTGGACAACACGACAGTGAGCAAAAGCCCCTTCCTGTGATCCACATCGGAGCTCTCTTCGGATTCAGCGCGGGCTGGAACGACAGGTAGGACATCGCGTCCCTGAGCAACGCTTGAGCGTCCAGGGCCACGACAGAGAAGCTGCAAGGCACCACTGCGGATCGCATTATCGGCGTCTTTGACACCCGGTCGTTCGCAGCATGACGGACACGCTTCCGCGACATTGATCAACACGACGGGTTGCAACAGCACGACGTTGAGTATCATGACGGAGTGCGCTTTACGGCACGACGGAGGGGCCACTCCCGCGACTCGGACAATCACGCGTGCGCAGCACGACGGATAGGAGCAGTACGGCATTGAGCAGCACGGCAGGCCCCAGCAGCACGGCACACCGCAACACGACGAAGTGCGAAATGCAGCACCTGTGATTCTGACCCCCACGGACGCGCAGTACGACGGATGCCAGCACCACGACACTGAGCAGCACCACCAGGGGGGACCACTCGCAGCGTGATGTGCACTGCGGCCCCTTGAACAGCGCCTGCGGGACCCACACCATGACGGAGAGATGCAGCCCGCCCCGGCCAGCCGGGGCGGCCTTGAGCAGTACAACGGGCCCCAGGTCAGTCTGCGGCGCACCAAGGACCAGCAGGGCGGCGCACCAAGGACCAGCAGGCAGCACGAAGACGGTGA